ACTGTCTGTCTGAAATAGTAAGGGTATTTCTATTGAGAGTGTGCTTAAAAGAAGTCTAATAGCTCAGTCCAAACTACATTTATTCAAGAGGATGCCCTTTCACCCTGAAACTTTATTTCTATACAGTCTTGGAAGTGAACATTTTATTATGCCACAGGTCATAATAGTATCTCAGGGCAAGTACAATAAAATTGCTTCATTATGACACCATAGGAGGAATGTGATCTTACATATAATTTTTGCAGTCTTATTTAAGTATTACATAAGCTCCCCTTCATCACAATATTCTCTTGTAAAACTGCTTTAAACCAAAATAATAGTCTAAAACTTCCTTGGTGAAATTCTAGAAAGCTAAATACCCTCAGTAAATGAATTTGAGATTAAAAAAAAATCCAAAAAAATGTATAAAGTGATCCTGAACCTATGGGATTCAGCCTTCACCTTGAACAGAAGGAGTGGAAAAAAGTAAAATCAGCTCTGAATGAACACTGCTTTGGGTTTAAGAAAAGAATCCACTCTACTCTCAAGACCTAAAAAACTTCAATCTAAATTTCAGTGTGTTTCTGGTTGAATACTATAAGCTGCTAAATATAAATATGAAGAAAAAAAAGACATGAGACAGCTCAATAGTACCCTATAACCATTTTAAGGTTTATAGCAGCTGGTTGTGTATAAACTAAAATTGAAATGTCAATGAAGTAGTTACAGGATGTTGTTAAGAACTTGCATTTTCTTACATATTGGTCACTCAATACCATGTCAATAACTTCATGATGTTGTAAATTGTTGTTGAATTTGTGTAGTGGCTTTTCATCGGATGGGATGATATTCTGCCAGCTCTACTTTCAGACCAAGGATGGTCTCCCAATGAAACTGCTGAATTTATCTGGACAATAAGATGCTGGACTCTCTACATGGTCCATGCCCACAATGATGGAATCATGACTGGATATGAACTGTACTGCTGTGATAATATGGAGGAAATCAGTATTGGGGGAGGGCTTGGGAAGGAGTTGGGGAAATCCCAGAGCCTATGAAACTATGTCATAAAATGAAATAACAATAATAATAATAAATTTTGAATGTGTTTCTATGTAGGTAATACCTCCAATTACTTGCCAAAATAACATGACGCAAATCCTCTCTGGAAAAAAACATTATAACTCTAGCTTTAAGGAATTCCCATATTGGAGTTTCTGGGAATATCAGCTCAAACTTTTTTACATGCCAAAAATGGGATTAAACCAAGTATATATCTGAGCAAAAGCAGGAAATACTGAAATCATCAGATACCAGAGACCAAATGGTGTGTATAACATGCTTAAAGAAACAAATGAAGATATTGAAAATGTGTAGTGGAAAGAACGGACTGTCTAAACTAACCAAATATACTAAAAAAATCAAATAAAATTTTTAGAACATGATACTCAATGAAACATGAGCTTCTGGTTTGTTAGACATTAAACAAGTTTGAAGAAAATTAAGTATACAACTTTGTGAAACTGGGAATAAACTTGATAAACACACATTTTACATTTTACAAAAATCTAAAAGGAAATAAAGGACAAAAAAATTACATAGAAAATGAATCTATAATGACCTATAATGAAAAATCAGCAAAGCTAACAAATATTCCATACACATATAACTAAAAGACACATATCTCTGACAATAGTTCAGCTAAGGGAAGTCACAAATAACACTGACAATGAAAAAGGGGAGGTAACTACGGATACTACACAAGGCAACATTATATCTTTATTACTAAAAACTAGAGTGGGATAGAAAATTTCCCATAAGATAAAATATCAAACAATCCTGACTCCAAATCTATTACAGAAACAGAACCAATAATTTTTTTTAAATCTTATTTTTTAGCAATGTGGCATAGTGAATTGAACTACCACCTTTGATGCTAGCAACCCATATGAGCTGGCCAATTCTAGCTCTGTTGTTTTGCTTCAGATCCAGCTTCTTACAAATGTGCCTGAAAAAGCAGTATAAGATGGTCTAAGTATTTGAGTGCTTACCACCCATGTGGAAGACCAGGATGGAGTTCCCAGGTCCCGGTTTTGGCCTGATACAGACCTCACTGTTGTGGTTATCTGAAGAAAGCAGTAGAGGATGGTCCAAAGCCTTTGGACCCTGTACTCACATGGGAGACCTGCAGGAAGCCCCTGGCTGTGGCAGCCATTTGGGGAATGAACCAGTAGATAGAATATCTTTCTGTTTCTCCTTCTCTCTGTAAATCTGTCTTTCAAAAAAACTAAAATAAATAAATAAAAATCAGTAACAGTAAAAAGTAAAAGTCCAAGGCTTTTACAGTGATTCTACTGCAAGTCCTGGAATCCACCTTTGTGCCCTGACATTCTTGGAATACAATCTCTTTTATTTACACCATAATTGCCAAATTCCAATAATATTTGTTCTGAACCATAAACTTATTAAGAAAGAAGAGAAAAGGGTAAAACAGGATAAAACAGCATGCCAAAGCGGGCTTTCACAACAAAACAACTTGCTAACAATGTACTCTTAGAAAAGCCATTTTCAGAAACCCCTTGTAGAAATTTTTGCTTACAGCTCATAGCCGGAAATACAACACACAGCCTTCTCTAATTTCAAGGGTGTTTGGAAAGATCAATACTTAGGCGGGACACACTGCCAACCTAAACAGATTGGGGATCTTGTAATAAGAAAGAAGAATCTGGATATTGGTTAGCCACAAGGATGTCTGCCAAGATACACTCTTAGATTTTAAACTTAGCTAAAATTAAATACGCTTAAAAGTTAGTCTCAATCGAAAAAGCCTTAAATAATTAAAATACAAATTTGCAGAATATATGTTGAAAGCTTTTAAAACTATCATACTTTCAAAATCTTTTTTGGGTGCAGCAAGAAAAGGGGTTTACTTTCCAATGATTAAAAAGTTTAAGCTATAGTTCTAAGATGGTACTATAGTGTGAGGACAGGATTAAACTGATGGAAAATAATAAGCCAGGGTCAAGCAGAGAGAAGAGATTCCAGGAAATAGGAGAGCACAGGCCTAAGGCATAGGAGCACCTGGAGATCCATGGACATGGGGAAACAGCAGAGACAATGGAGCAGTTTTGCAGTGACCAGACACTCCAGTGGCTGTCAGCTGTCAGTGATCAGAGTTCTACTGGTGACCAGGTGGAAAGGGGAGTTCACCAGGAGTTCAAGTGATGAAGCCTCATCCTGTCGACTTGTTTGATTTGACCTGAGCAGAGACAGAACGGCAAACCACAAATGGCAATGCAGGAAAAGGATGGATTTGATGGCCCAGACCCCAGCCAGTGCCACATCAGAAACCATTCTGTGAACTGTGGCAAAGGCTGCAGGACAGGAGGGAGCTGTGTGAGCTGTGCATGCAATAAGCCAGCAGCAGATTCACTTCCGGCTCAGCACACTGCACTGGTCCCACAGGGAAACCAGTACTGATTCAGCATCCTACAGGTTCCACCCAAAATAGGTCCAGGTGGCCCACAGACGTAATGGTCAGCAGACCCAGAACCCCAAGAGTGCCGTATCAGGTGCCATTTTGTGCACTGTGGCAAAGGCTGTAGGATCAGAGGGAAAACAGTAAGTTGCATATGTGCTAAGCAGCAATGAACTCAATTCTGGCTTAGCATACCAAACTGGTCCTACAGATAAACAGTTATCAATATGGCATCACATGGATTCCAACCAATATAGGTCTGGCGGCCCTCAGACCTAACGGCCAAAGGTTTTAGCAAGACTCAGTGATTTATAACAGCTGGCATCTGCCTAATCACAGGCATTGTTCAACCCAGGATTGGGAGAAAGGCTGTGCAGGCAATGGTGGGTCCACAGCACAAGATAACAGGACATGGACAGGAGAGTGGCGAGCCAGGAGCTTGAGCTACAGAGACTGTGGGAGAAGCCTAGCACAAGCACCCAGGACTGAAACTTGCTGGAGGGAGTGGCACAAGTGACTGCAAATGAAGAACTGGATATAAAACACAATCAATAAAATTGAACCAGTGGGCAACACAGCTTAGAAACCAGCCCTAAGGAGAGGAATCTGCTAATTAATATCACCATTAATCTCAATGGACAGAACAATGGGACAGAAATTCAGCAAGGAAACAGCAGAGCTCACCCAGACACTACAACAAATGAACTGATTCAATATCTACAGAATCTTTCATCCTACAGGAAATATACTTCTTTTTTTCAACAGTACATGGAACTTTCTCTAGGACTGACCACATTATAAGCCACAAAAAAAAAAAAGTCATGCATCTTCACAGACCATCATGGAGTAAAACTGGAGACTAATAAATCAGAATACCTCCAGAAGACATATAAAGACCTGGAGACTGAATAATACACTACTAAATGAAAAATGGATTGTAGAGGAAATCAATGGGGAAATTTTATTAAAAATCACCTGAAACAAATGAAGGCACCAACACAACATATCAAAACTTATGTTCAAGGCAGTGTTAAGAGGAAAGCTTATCTCAATCAATGCCTATGTTAAGAAATTAGAAAAGCACCAAGGAATTGAACAAACCCCATACCATTTGAAGGAGCTAGAAAAAGAGCAACAAAGCAATCCCAAGATTAGCAGCAAAGAAGAAAAAAAACAAAATAAGGGAGGAAATAAACCAGAGACCAAAAACAATCCCTAAGATCAATGAATCAAAGAACAGGTTCTTTGAGAAAATAAACAAAATAGATTTCACACTAGCCCAACTAATCCAAAAAAGAAGGAAGAGGTAATCAATAGGATTAAAGATGCAAAAGGAAATACAACAACAGATACTTTGGACATACACAGAATTATTTGAAATTATTACAAGCAACTTCTTGCCAAAAAATCAGGAGACTTACAAGAAATAGACAGATTTTTCTACACATACAAACTACCAAAATTGAATCATGAGGCAGTTAATCTATTTTTTTCCCTGACAATCTCCAGTATATTCAAGGAACCCCAAGGTTTTCGCGACTGTGCTCATACATCAGCCTCATCAGTTATAGCTTCTGATGGCACTTCTTATTTGTTACTGGTATCATCAGAGCAAGTAATTAATAATCTAAATAGAACTATAACAAGGACTAAGATAAATCAGTAATTAAATCCCTCCCAATGAAGAAAATTAAATCCCTCCCTGGAACAGATGGCTTCACTGCAGAATTCTACCAAATGTTTCAAGAAGAATTTACCCAGTCCTCCACAAGCTATTCCAAGCAACAGAAAGGCAGGCAATCCTTCCAAACTCATTGGATGAAGCCAATATCACCCTAATACCAAGCTAGATAGAAATATAATGGAAAAACAGAACTACAGACCGATATACTGATTAACACAAATGCAAAGATCCTCAACAAAATACTAGCCAACAGATCCAACAGTAAGTTATGTTCTATCACAAAGGAACAGTAAACTAAAATGATAAATTTCATCATACAGATCCTTGGAAAGCAGCAGAAGATGGCCCAACCTCTAAAGCTCCAGCACCAAGCTGAAAGACCCAAATGTATTTTATAAAATTCCTAACTATACATTTTAAGGGAAATTGGTGAATTTCCTTTCAAAATTAACTCAAACATACATATCTTTACTGTTTAGTCTATAATATAATATTAATAGAATATTCTAATAAACTTATCAAAATGACTCATTCAATTTGGCAGAGCTACAATCAACTATATAGCTTTTTGATGAATATTTCCTCGTTTCTGGAAAATTTCTTTTCTCTCATTGCTGTAATAATTCTTAAAATGAGGAATAACAATTACTTGAAGTAATAAATCCTTTCTGTAGCCACAACAGCAAGCATGAACTGTGACTCTGGCAAAGGGAGAAATATAATGTTTACATATAATATATAATGAGCTTTTGATTAAAGAATAGGATTTGGAGCATAAATATTTAAAATTTGAAAATCTTGTTTTGTTAGAAATGCACAATGATATTATCATTTTCCATAAACAATGATTACCTTATAATCATCTTCACTTCAAGATGGATAGGGAGATTATAGGTTTAATCTTCAAAGGAATGAAATTCACCTATCTTGGCTCAGATAATAACTTTACACATACATACACATCACGCACACACAAACATACTGATCCTTCTACATTCTATATGGTGCTGCTTTTAACATTGACTTTTTTTTAAGAGTTGCTAAATAATTTTCTCTGAGAATTTTATCTGTTTTTTCTTTTAGAAAGTATTTGCTAAACAGCTAAGTATGTTCTTATTACATCACTTATTAAATACTAAAAATACATTTTCTGCAACCTTATCATACAAAATATCATCATTTCAACATGTAATCAACAGGAAACAAGTATCAATGAGATATTTCCCATTCATTTTTTCATACTTTGGAACCCCAGCATGTATTTTATACCTTCAGGACATTTCACTTTAAATGCTGAATTTCAGGGCAGGTTTTTCCCGTAGAGGTGAAGTCTGATTAAAACTTCTGTATCCCATATCAGAGACCCTAGGCTGGACCACCGGTTCTGATTTCCAGCTCCTACTAGTGGATACCCTGGGAGGCTATAGTGATGCCTCAAATAATTGAGATGGTGTCAGCAATGTGGAAGGCCTGGGCTGAGTTCCTGTTTCCAGGCTTCTATCCACTACAGCCCTACTCATTGCAGGCATTTGTAGAATACATAAACAGAAGCATGTGCTCATTCTCTCTCTCTCTCTTTCTCCCTCTAAAACCCCTTACTGCTTCCCTCCTTTCCCGTTCCCCCATCTATTCCTTCCCCCAACCAAAAAAAAAATACTTAGATGCTAAATTTCATATTTTTAATCTATATCTCAGTTTCACAAAATTTTACATTTGAAAAAATATAGATTACCCATACAGAAGTTGTTTCCAGTAGACTTAAAGGTTTTCCAAAAACTGTTTCTCCTTTAACATTCATAGAGATGAAATTAGGTCATCTCTTTTAGAATACTGATTAAACAATAATCAGTTATTTGATTTTCTAGTTATGTTTCAAAACTACATTTGTCCAAGTAAATTCAAGGTTAACTATTAATGTTTTCTTTTATGGCTCACTGCTTCAGGATTATGTTTAAAAACTCTTTATCTAACCTTGGATCATAGAGATTTTCTCCTAAATTTTCTTCTAAAAGTTTTAGTTTTATGTTTCATATTTGGAACATTTCAGCTAATGTTTTGTAGAAAGAATAAGGTTAGGAAAGTTTTTTTACTTTTTTCTTTGCCTATGAATGTCAAACTGTTCCAACACCATTTGTTGAACAGACCATCTTTCCTCTCCTTAATTGCTTTTGCATTTTTGTCAAAAGTCAGTTTCCCATACTGCATGGATCTATATATGAACTCTCTATTCTGGATCTTAGTCTAAGTAAGTATTCCTCTGCCAGTACCAACCTGTCTTGTTTACTGTAGTTACAGTAACTACAGTAACCGTTAAATTGGTTCCATGAATTTTGTTCTTCCTTTTCAAAACTTTTGGCCTTCCCCGGTCTTTCATATTACCACTATTATCAATATTTTAAATCTTGTGGCATTATATGTAGACACTCTACAATTCATGTTCCTTTTTGTCCTGACTTTATAGTATTATTTTCTTAACTGTTAACTCTGCAAGTACTAAAAAATCAAATTAATATTCTAATTTTTGCTATGTAACATCAAACACAGTTTTTAAAGCTGAAGAGAAAAGTTTATCTATCCTTTCCATTGCTTCCTCCATTTATGATATATTCCAGGTATCCTTTTATTACTAATTATTTTTTCTCTACAAGACAGACTTTATATAATGCATTCTTTTAGAAACAATCTTCCTGTAACAAAGTTACACAGACTTTCTTTTTCAAATAGATACTGATTTTTCATTCATTCTAAAAGTATCTTCGGAGGGTTACATAATTCTGGGAGTCTACCAGGTTCCTCCCCACCCTCTCCCCACCTGAGCTGAAAACCATGAGGTCATTTTTGTATTCACAGTTTCTAATGGAAAAATTTGTCATTAGGGCCTGGTGCAATAGCCTAATGGCTAAATCTATGCTGTGCATGTGCTAAGATCCCTTATGGGCACAGATTCATACCCCAGCTGCTCCACTTCCCATCCAGTTCCTTCTTCTGGCCTGGGAGGGCAGAGAAGGAGGGGCCAAAGCCTTGGGACCCTGCACCGAATTGGAAGACCTGAAGGAAGCTCCTAGAGCCTGGCACCTGGCTTTGGATTAGCTTAGCTCTGGCCAGTGCAGACATTCAGGGAGTGAACAAGCATATGGGAAGGTCTTTCTCTCTGTATCTTTTCTCTCTGTAAATCTGCCTTTGAAGCAAAAATAAATTTAAAAATAAACAAACAAACAAAAACTTACTATCATTAAAACTGGATTTCCCCACAGGTAATCTGTCAATGTGCTCTAGTCACTTTCAAGATTTCTTTCCTTTTCAGAAATTTAACTTTCTCAAAATAAAAATTATGTCTGGTTATAGATTTCTTTGGGTATATCCTGCTTGGAATTAATTCAGTATCTTAAATCTGTAGCTTTTGTTTTATTTTCTCAAATTGAGTTGTTAGCTCTTATTTCCTCAACTACTTCCTTAGATGAACTTAATACTCCCAGACTATAAGGCTAGATATTATGTTACAGCGTTTTTCCCCTAAAATTAAAATTTAGTATCTAAAGCAAAAAAATTTCAGTTTGTCATTTCAACATTATTCATATTTGAATATTTCTCCTAGTCTATATTCAAGGTTGCCTAATTCATATATCTAACATTTCAAATTCTATCAATCCTAAATAACATTTTTTAAATTTTTTGTTATTACACTTTTCAAGGCTAAAATGTTGACCTGATTCTTTATATTCTCCTCTCCTTTGCTGTGATTTTCTCTTTTCAGAGATTTCAAGATTTTTTTTTATAATTTCTGTTGAGGTATTTTTATAAAAGTTGCATTGGGATATAATTTTCATTTTTAACCCACATTTGTACTCTGTGGAACTATGGCCCTCCCTTTCTTACCAGTCAAATCAAGCCTGTGAATATAGAGTGAATTAAAATTATACCTAAAAGCTGATGCGAGGGGAGCAGATAGTGAAGTGATAGAATGGAATTTTAATAACTCAGGAAACTAGTAATTATTTACTTACCACATACAATTGTTTCCACAGACTGGCCCATTCTTGCAGAGTTGCTGTGACTTCAGTCACAATAGAATCTTCAAGTGGAACCACGGTTTCATACTGCCTAGAAACAAAGCCAAAACAGACAGCCGCGTTATCTTTTGGGAAAAAAAATCATAGAATATTATGTGCTGCCTTTTTCAATGTAATTCAACTTAAAATTTATAAATTATAAAAAATACAACTATGTAAACAAAGCTGTTTTTACGGTGATATTCTACAATAGAGTGATTAAGCAACAGTGATTAGAGTATATAAAAACATGTGGGACTTAAAGTGCTATTTTGTTGCTTAGAAATGATGCCTATAAGACATAAATTTTTCAAGATTTATTTATTTTTATTGGAAAGGCAGATATACAGAGAGGAGGAGAAATAGAAAGGAAGATCTTCTGTCTGATGGTTCACTCCCCAAGCGGCTGTAACAACTGGAGCTGAACCAATCAGAAGTCAGGAGCCAGCAGTTTCTTCCGGGTCTCCCAAGGCTTTGGGCCATTCTCAATTGCTTTCCTATGCTGCAAGCAGAGAGTTGGATGGGAAGTGGAGTGGTTGGGATTAGAACCAGCACCCATATGGGATTCCAGTGAATGCAAGATAAGGACTTGAGCCGCTAGGCCACCACACTGGGCCCAAAATGAAATTTTTTTAAAGGAGAATCTTTAAGTAATAAAACTTTCTTCTTCAAGGAAAAAAAAGAGTATCACTGCTAAAGGCCTGCTTAGACTTTGTCACCTCTTTCAATGGACTCCACAAAATAAAAAGAATCATCAGGAATTAATACCAATGATATGTCAACACACTGGAAATCTAGAGAAATGCACAGATCTCTGGACAAAAAATAATCTATCAAATCTGAGTCATGATGACTTAGAAAACTTACAAAGACCAATAACTAAGAAAGAGATTAAGTCAATAACAATGACCCTCTAACAAAGTGAAGCCCAGGACCAGATGGCTTCACTGTTGAAACATTTCAAGATCTAATTCCAATTTTTTCACACACAATTCAAAACAACTGAGAAGCAGGAAATTCTCCCCAATTCCTTCTATGAAGTCAGCATAACCTTAATTCCAAAACCAGAAAACTATACAACAAAGGCAAGTATAGACCAATATCCCTAATGAACACAGATGCAAACATCCTAAACAAAAAACTAGCTAATGAATTCAACAATACAATAGAAAGATCTGGACCAGGTGGGATTTATCCCTCGTATGATTCAACACAAATCAATAAATATGATATATTACATTAGAAAGCTGAATAAAGAATCATGATTATCTGAGTAGGTACATAGAAAGCATTTGATAAAATACAACATATTTTAATGATTTTAATAAATCTTACACAGATTGGACTTAAAAGGAACATTTCTTAGCACAATCCAGAAGAATCTGCTAACCAGAAATACATTGATCAAGAGCAAAAGAAGGGGCAAAGGCACAATGAAAATTACCGAAGACTCCCCTGCAAAGGAACAAAAGCCTTTGCCAACCTCAGAGTTAACTGAGGAATACAGTGAGAAAACAGGGGATACAGAATTCAAAACACTTGTTATAAAACTCCTTATCAACAAAGAGTGCTTGCTTTGGCAGCACATATACTAACAAAGAGAAGCACATGCAGGGATTTAAGGAATATGTCACACTGGAAATAGTAACACTGACACATCTATTTGTTGCCTACAGGAGACACATCTCATCAACAAAGATCAGTGAAAACTTAATCTCATGGATTTTGGTGATTTTGTTTTTATTTTCATTTCTCCAAAACACCGTTTTTCTCGGTGCCTCTGAAGAATTATATCACGATTTTTTTTTAATTTCTTGTCCAGGAGATCCTCAAGGTCTTCATCTTGTAATTCTAAGATTGAGGTGGTTTTCTGCTCCTTTTTGAGGGGAAAGCTGGTTTCCTCATTTGTGTTGCTTGTGATTCTTCTGTTACCTTTGCCCACTTTCATTGAAATCTGCAGGTTTTTTTTCTTCAAACTCTCTTTACATAATGTTGTTCCCAGATTTGCGAATAGATTTTACTGTTTCCATTCTGTATCCAATTTTTTTTTTCTTTTTCATCTGGATGATATCTGGGTGTTTGTGCTGGTCACTCCAGGGGGTTTCAGCCTTGGGTTCCCATGCTTTTGGTCCCTCTTCAGCCTGCAGATTGTGGTGCCCTCATTGCCTCTCACCTCTGGACACTCCCAGGCCATAACCAGGCTTTTGTCTGCTTAATCTCTCTCTTACTGATGGTTTTAGTGGCTCTGGGGCCAGGGAGCCTTCTGCCACAACTTTAAACTGCATTGTTGCTCTTCAATCTTACCTTGCTCTGCCCTAGTTGGTAACTGGATAACTGTTCTTGCAGACAAATGAGTCTTCAGATAAGGGACTTAAAAAAAAAAAAATAGAAGCAAGGGAATACTCCCCTTTTCTTTCTTCTTTTTTCCTTCTTTTCTTCTTTATGATACTCTTTTTTTTTTTTTTTTTTTTGGTGAGGGAGGAGGAATAAAGGATTTTTGAACTTCAAAGTAGAGTTCCTTTTTTTTTTTTTTTTTTTTTGCTTCCTGGTGGCAAAGCCCCTTGCCATGCATCTGAGACTTCCACTAAGGCACTAGGTACATTGTGGGGCTGCTGTTCTCTTAGTTCTGCAGACACTGGGATAGGTGTTGAATCACCAGAACGGTTGTGGAGACACAGAGTTGCATGCCTGATTATTTGTGCTGCACTCTGTCTTGCTCCACTTGTGACCCATGCTGCATGCAGGTCAGTAGCTTTGCTCCTTCTTGCCTCTCCTGGGCTGCACCAATCCTCTCATCAACCTGCCTGTGTTTGCTTGCTGCTATCTGACTTCCTCCTGCAGTGCTCCAACTGCTTAAGTGTGTCCAAACAGTCCCCACCACTTAAAGCGTGTGCTGCTGCTCACCTACACTACTTGTCTTAAGTAAAGCAGCCTTCACTCCACTCTCCCACCCTGTTCATGCTCTTGTGTTGGAATCCACACAAAAGGGTATGAATGTCCACTTACGCAAGTACTTTTGGTCTTTAGTTTTGGTTTACCTGAAATCCCATAGCGGATTTAACCAAGTTATACTCCCTGGGTTTTAAGGGCCAGCTCGATCAGGTGGTCTGGTTATCTTCGGGGGGGGAGGGTTTAGGCTATGGAATTTTTGATTAATTTTCTGGTCATCTCTAAGGCTGCTCCAGGTGTGGCTATGCTTAGCTGGGAGTGCTAGCAGCCAGAAATCTTAGATTGTCTCCTTTCAGATTGTTAGGTGTCAGACTGTCTATGGTTTTTTGTCCTGGCTTTCTAGGACTATCAGTAGTCCTCTTGTCAATGTTCCTTTTGTGTCGGTTCCAATATAAAGGTACTGGACCACGGGTTGAGGTGCTTTCCCAGAGTTTGCTTCTGCTCACCCTCTTCTTGAGCTATTAGGCTGCAACCTCTGGCATTTCAACTGTTTTTTTCTTATCCATGCAGCTCCACCTTCTCTTCACAGGCCTCCTGAGAGCTCTGTTCACCTAAAGCAGTGATTTTCCTTTGCCAGCTCTGCACAGCACCTGTTTTTCTCCTGCCACTCTCTCTCCACTCAGGGTATACCTTCCACCCTGATCAGCAATCTTGTCTTCTGTCAAACAATTTAGTTTTTTTAAACAAACCCTCATGCTCGGGGAGTTCAGTGGTTGGTTCTCTACCGGCTTCATGAGTACGGTTTTAGGGTATGTTATAAAGCTGGTCTTATCTATCATACGAATTAGATTTTCATTATACCTCTCCGAACCCACTTAGAACAGTTCCACAACAAATTTCATAATTAAGAAACAAGGTCAAGAAAGATCTGGGCAATTACTACTAAACATCAATGAGTATGTTATAACACTATGTTTTCTGGTTTTACTGTCTTTTTTTGTGTGACCTACTCAGCAAATTTAAAAATACCCAGGAATAATGCCACAGCACAGTCAATACCCATCACCTTCACAAAACAATTAAATTAAAAACATCAGATTTGCTAAGATCAAAATGTGACAGAGATTACACCAGCAAGAAGGCAGAAAAAGCAGTTTCAACTTTCCCTGCACTCAGGAACATCGACTTTGACAAGTATTTTGTGGGATTCGGGAAGCCAGCAGAGAAGTTCTGGCACACCAGTGAAGCAAAAGATCCAAGAAAAATCATTAAAGAGGATAAGTAGAAATTTTACTTTTCCTGTATCAGTCTTCTGCCAAGACAAGATAGCTCAATGCCAAAACAAATTCAATTGCCTACAACTTCTCGCAGAAAGGGAAAAGCACAATGAATGCCTACCCATTCTAACCAGTTGTGTGACACACTACCTAACAAGTGTACTTCTACATCACCACCCCAAGATTATTGAGTGTTTAGGGAGGGATGGGACCAAGGAAAAATAGGAATAACTTCTGTGAATGACTTCTACAGACTCTCAGGAAGCTCACCAACAGGAAAACATCATCTGTCAGTCCCATTCATACCAGGCCACTAGCACTTTAAATTCTTCACAAACCACCCCCTACCACAAGACAGCTCTCCAATAATTACCCCAGGACTGAATTCAACTGTCTTGCATGACCAGGTAGTATGACTCTAAGGGTTTAGAAGAAAAATAGAAACTCAAAAATTTCACAATACTGGCCTTGGGAAAACAAAGAGAAAACTCTTGGGGGCCCTGTTTGGCTTTCTGGAATCAAAAAGGGCACATATTTTAAGAATGGAAACATTTAAGAGTTCTCGATGAACAAGGGGTATGGTTCGGAACATCCACAGAAAAATTCTGAAAGAACCTTAAATCCCTAGCAAAGCTATTTGACAGCAATTTCTCTCCTGTAATGATTCAGTTAAAATGACTGCATCTTCATATACAAAGATAGCAATGTAAGATTTCAAAGAAACATGACATCAAAGGAACATCAAATATTCCAGTAACCAAACCAAACAAATGAAGATTTATGAGTTACCTGATAATTCAAAATGACTGTTCTAAGGAATTCGGTTAAGTAATAAGAGAAAGCAAATGAAGACAATTCAATATAATAGAGTGGTGACTCAGCTAAA